AAACGTTGCAAAAGCATATACTTAGATATACAAATAACAGCAAATCATTAATAAGATTCATTATGTAAATAACTAATGAATATAGTAATACATGGTTGCACGCATATATAAGAAACTAAAAACTGTTTCAGAACACCGTATACACTCCATTTCATATCGTTCCAGAACAGATTCCAAATGTTCTAATCAGCTGAGACGTTTTACGCGTGACACAATTTGACCAATCAACGCCTGTGCTCTGACGCATGATTCGAAGCTGGGAAAGTCCCTAAAATAACGTTATGGAAAATGATATTTCACTATATTACTCGCAGTGCTAAGTCTGAATACAACATGGCTGAAGCACAGTATACAAAGAGAATAATGTGGAAGAAATATAGTTCAATTGTTCTTATCGTTTTCTTTGCAGTCTCGCTCGGACAGTTGGCCTGTCGGATTAGTATAATCCTCAGCAGATTTGATACCATGGAAGATTTCATGGACCATATCATGGAACATTTCATGAACATATTTCTTAAAATAATTTTATCTGCGACCATTTTGTTTCTTCCAGCTGCATATTTTACGCAAATTCACGCAAAAAAAGTCGTCGGTAACATGGAAGTAAGGAAAGTGATGCATTGGCTCATGTTATTTAATTTCTCAGGGCTCATCTTCATTACAATCTGCAGAGGATTAGGCATGACTGAAAGAGAACCGAAGTTGGTCTACTCAATAACCGATGTCGGAATTTTAAATACCATAACCATCTCGCTTTTACCACTATATATAATGATTCCCACCCTTCTGGAAGTGAAAGACGTTATTTTGCCATATTGCCCAGCGATAGTAGATATCTACGACGGTATTGAGATGTCAGAAACAAAATTGAATTTAACGAATCCGGCGTGGGTGCAAATCATGATTTGCTTGGCTGTTATCATGTTCTACATTCCATCATTATTGGAAATATATCATCTCAAATTTCCTGACTTAACAAATGGATCGATCTATTCGGAACGAAGAGTTAGGCTTTTTCAATGTGTTTCCAGTTGCATGTTTCTTGTTCTTCGTGTAGTACTGTTGGCATACAAGCCGCATGAAATTGGATTTGCTATCAAGACATTTTTTAGAGCGTACTGTCATTTCAAGAGATTGTCAGATCTGCATCGTGCTCCAAAGATTGTTTCAATTCAGGCGACAGAAATCTTGACAGAAATACCCTTGACTATGATCGTCAGTGAAAGGAGAAGCTTGTACGACATAGCAAGTGGCAAAACATACAGATGCAATGAAATACGCATCGACGTCACCTCCGACAACAACAGAAGCATAAACTATAATAGACCCAGTCGCAGATCTCTAAGCGTATAAAGATACAGAGAAAAAAAATAGGGGTCGGTATTTCCGGGTATTTCTTTTGTATTTTTCTGTTACGTTTATCTTATGTGTACTTGTTTAAACTATAGACTTAATTTTTTGCCATATTACGGTAAGAATTAGTGAAATGCATGTCAAGACACGTAGTTTTAAAAACCACTGTGATTCTGTGAAGGTAGCCGCGGATTGAATTATATTATAGTATTATTATTGGATTTTAGGCCATATTTCAAGTAGTTTTAAAAACCACTGTGAAGGTAGCCTCAGATTCGGCCTCGCATTCAACTGTATTCAATCATTCAAAAGTAGATTACTTGAAACCTTTTTTCTGGCATTAAGTAAATCAGGGGCGGATCCAGTGGTTTTGTTGACTGATGCACTTAACCTCGCACTTGTAGGGGGGTCCGGGGGAATATTCCCCCGGGAAATTTTGAAATCTAGGACTTTGAGTTACTGCATGTATACGAAGGCCCTCTCTGGAGCTAGTCACTCTAATATTTATGGATGCATTTATATCCAATATTTTGACAAATGCAGTTTATAAATACTGTAAAATTATCAAAGTATTCAAGGGTGTTAGGTACTAGTTTTCATTGTTGCTGAGCAGTTAGTAATAAAAATAAACAATTATTGAAATTATTTGCAGAAAATAGATTATTCTATTTGAAGTCTTGATATCTACAATACATTGACCAATATATCTCCACAGATTTTGCATTGAATCCCAAATCATACATTCAGGAGAGTGTCTAGGACTACTGTATGTATCCAAAACTGCTGTTTAAAGATATTAAGGATAGACAGGGAGTAGTGCAGTTATGGACTTGGTAGGTATCTGATTGCATGAGCAGGACTGAAAACTTCAGTAACAGTGGCAGTGCAGTATATTGTGATCAACTCAATTAGTACATTGACTTATCAATGAAAGTGAGTTGATTTATCAATTTATACATTAATGTATTCTATGCAATGACCCTTTGTTGTACATATTGAAAATAAATGATAGAATGATTAGAACAGTTATTTGGTCCCATAACTGCTAATTAGACTGGTACATTTAAAATGAACACCTTGTGCTGAGCCATGGTCATGAGAATGGTATAATTTAAATTTTAAAGGCATATGAACAATGCTGGAAAAAGCATCACAAATTTAAGGGGCCGAACTTGAGAGAGCCCAGCTAAATTTATTCCCTTCCTAAACACATGTGAATCCCCTTTATTTTCAGCATCACAATAATTTGCCAGTCACCCCCTGTGCCTGTCCCCTCACCTTGGCAGGGGCAACCCTGATACATGTAATGCTATTTAGTGTGATTGATGGCTTCTGGTACTAGGTGATCATTCTGGAACCTAGAGATAATATATAACTGAACTTATCTCACTATCACCAAACATTGCCCTTTAAAATATTGTTTTGAAGCTGCAAGAGCTTCCCAATTCCCAAATGATGCACATACAGGGATGGATTTGGATCTAATTAGGTGCTGGTATTGATGTCGGGTGTGAGCATCAACCAAGGCATGGTGTGTAATCATACAGATAGCGGTGTTTTGGGGAAAGACCTAACAAGTAACCGC